AAACAACTCCATTTTTCAGTTGGTTTTACATTTGTATCTTATTTCTATCACCAATAAAAATAATTATTTTTTGTCACACTTATTTTCTTTAATATGATTAATTAGAATATGATTCAATGAAAGAATGAAAGTTAATACCCTAAATACAAGACTTAATGAGAGGGAGTTGAATGAGGGAAAATGTAATAGTTCAAATCTTGTGCCCTCACAATTAAAGAGAGGCCAAATTTAAAAATAGGGGTATTTTAGTCAAGCATAGGATTCAATAAATATTAAAGGAAATTAATACCTTAAAAATGAGACTTAAAATGAGAGTAAAAGTAATTGTTCAAATTACAATTCTATACTTACATTTAGAGAGGGGCCAAATTAAAAAATTAGGGTATTTTAGCCAAACAAAAGTTTCACACTTTTAATAATAGTATAAATGTGAATGATTCCAATGGCCAATTGAAGAGTCCATGTGAGGTCCAGTCGTCTTAAGCTTATCAACTACAGTCTCGATCTACTATGCACATCTCTTAAGCTATTAATTCATATGAATAAGGCACACAAAGTTGCACCATTGCATGTTGATGACGACCATGTACTGATGTTTTAAAAACCATACCACATTTGGAATCAATCAGTAAATGAAGTTTTGTTGATCCCATTTTTCACAAATACCATTGCAAACAATGCGAATCAATATTTATCTTCTCTATTGCAATTAGTTGACATAATGGCAATGGGGTGGGTTCGAGGAGGGGATCACATTCCCCGTCCCTAACTCCAATCCCTATTGGGGATAAAAATTGTCCTCCATCTCTAATCCCCAACTGAGATGGATTTCCCGTAGAGACCTGAAGCCCTAAAATTTTTAATTAACAATATTTTTTAAAAAATATATTTTACTTGAAGGAAAATTTTAAAATAGGGGATGCCATTAATAGCCATCCCTGACCTTGACCTTGGTCGGGATCCCTATTAATCCACATCTCCAACCCTATTGGATCGGATAGGTTGGCTACCTGGTAGGGATGGGGGAAATTTCCATCCCTACGAATATGCTTTTTTTCATTGCATAAAACTCGTACTACATCCCATCCTAATTGTGCAACTTGGGTGGGCTTGGAAAAAACTTTTATCAAAATTTCAAATGGGCCTCGCCCAAAGGCCTAGACATAAAGCAGTGCAAAATGCCAATTCGGGACCTTGGTATTGTTGCTGATGTTGTTATTCCGCTTGCACTTGCCTATGATGCACCATGTAATTTTAGGTTGTGTTCAGATTTTCCTTCATTTCTTTTACTTTTCTTATTTTTCTCTTTTAAATCAAATGCAAACACAACCTTAAGAGCAATAATATGGCTAAAAAACATTCTCACTGGGAAATAAAATTGGCAGCTAAAAGGTTAATAAGATGACTCAAAGGAAGTTTTTTTACTCGTTATAATTGCATTCTATCAAGAAATGATGGTAGATCATTTCTACCAAACCCAAAACCCTCAACCCAGGTGTAGACAGGATTCGATCCCAAGTCTCCGTTACAATCAACTAGAAGCTTTATCAACTAACCGGTAGGCACCTTGCATAGATAACAAGACAAGATTCGATCCCAAGTCTCTGTTACAATCAGCTGAAAGCTTTATCAACTAATCGATAGGTACCTTGCATAGATAACAAGTTTATGCAACCTTCTTTGCGTTACACACAAGGTGGAAGTGAGGCATGAGTATGCCTTTGAAATTCCTCCAATGTCTCCAATCACCTTTGAAGTAGTTCCTTAAATATGCAATTGAAACGTTGTAGTTAGGTTGGCATCAGGTTGAATCAAGGTTCAAAATTTTGATGTGTGATGCCCTATATCAGATGTATCATATCTTATCAATGACTTGACAATATGCCTATTTATAGGTATTTCAAGAACACCCTCTATTTAATGAAAAATATTATTAGAAATAGGTTCAAAAATCAAAATTTGAAAAAAAAAAAAATAAAATCATACCATTTTAAGTACCGATGCACACAAGATATTTTGAACCTTAGGTTGAATGCAAGTTTGATGACTATATATATTATTGTGTTGGGTTGGATTTTGGTTAGTGGTTGATATAATCCTCTCTCTCTCTCTCTCTCTCTCTCTCTCTTTGTTGGAGTGCTCATGACCAAACCATGTGCATATATTTGAAACCGAATTGGAACTGATTAATCGAATCAATTAATTACCTATTGACTGGTTAGACCAGTTGCTTGATTCCATTGTATATTTACAATATAATATATTATAAATATTTATATTTTATATATTATATATATATCCATCTATTTAATTGCGGTTTTTTAATAGGTGAACCAAAACCAAACCGAAAAATAAAAAATTTGCATAATGAAAACCRAAATGGAACCAATAGATTTTTTTGGTTCGAATTACTGGTCTTAGTTTTTCATATTTTTATGATCCCTTGCACCTAGGACTGGCAATTTTGACCCATCCAACCCACCAATATCCACCTTGTTAGTGGCCAGTCAATATGGGTTGAATGACCCATTAGGGTCAGGGGAAAATGGTGAGAGTGGGGTTGGATCGTGGGTACCCATTGAGGATGAAGGGTGTGGGTTGGGTCAAGGGTGCATCAATTGAGGAATTGAATGTCTGTTTTAGGGTTTGAAAGTAACCAAGAAGGTTTTTCTCCTTCTCAAACTCTCTGACATAGATTCATTTTCACTCTGCCAAGGTTCATTTGCTGCAACATTGCCGGCGACCAACTTCAACGTCACCAAAACAAGCTTCTCACTAGCACCAGCGTCAACGTCGTGGTGTTCTTCTACTCTCCGTTTAGAATTTGTTCAAATCGCCAAAACAAGCTTCAACGTTGCTAGTCGTCGGTGTTTCAACATCATCAACAAATTTTCTTTCTTCCTTCCGGTGTTTCTTCAATGTATGCTTGTTGACACCATTGTATATACAACTTGCTGATACTAAATGCTCTTTGTAGGTAAGTACCGCTTACTCAGACCCTTAGCGGATATCCAAACATCATGATTAACACCACAGAAGCACATGCAAGCAATTCACAATCAATCCCCATGTTGTGATGAACCCGCGACATGCCATCACCCCTGCGATGAACTGGTAGCAGATACCATAATACCGTGATAAACCCGTGCTTCACCGAATCTAGTCAGCGCCCGAACCTAAAGAAACCACATCCGTACCCATCCGAGGGTCACAAGCTCACCTGTGTGTGCGGTGAAGCTACGCCCGTTAATGCGTATGATGATCTCACAACCTGCGAGCCCACTCATGACGATGGGTCAGAAGGGATGCAGGCCAAGCCTACGACGAGGCCCGCATATGCCTAGAGGCACGCAGACCCACAACAACAAAGGACCTTGTAAACCGCCATGTAGAATCGGCGAAGCGCCAACCATCGAATGGTGACGTCACCAACACCACATAGGATTAGTTATAGCGCGCAAAAAGGTAGTAGCGCACATGAGTAATGAGGGATCTCAAGGATCATGAAAGCCAATCMTTGAGAAGATCCTTATGAGACACGTGTTGATACCCCAATAGCGCATCCAATAATTGACAACGAATTAAATATCCCCATATCCTACCTTTTAGGATCTCAAGAGATCCTCTTTATAAATAGGGATCCTCCTCGTATTGAAAATCATCCAATCCTAAGCATTTGTTACCCAATACTCCCGAGTATCCCAAAAACTCTCCCAGATCCTTAACCTCAAGACCTTCATCTTTCCCCCACACCCAAGGCCTCTCTTCGTCTTTCAAAGAGACCGCTCCAACACCTAGCCTTACACCTCCTACACTCTTTCTCAGTTAAACTTATTTTGAAATTTCGAGATTCTAAATCACTCCTCTATGATCTCTGGCTTTGATTTTTAAACCTTAATAGTTTATTAAAATGTTATCATTTGCAAGCAACAAGCCTTTAATGGTTAATTTGTATGAGCTTATGTAGATTGACAATGGTTAATTTGCATTCATATGTCTACTCGCTAAGGAAGCAAGAGAAAAAGCTTTACTATGGCTCTTAATGTGTACCTAGAGAACTACCTTAATAATTAAGGTTGTGTTTGGTACCATTGCCACTTCTTGCAACATTTTAGGTTGGTCAATGCATTTTTTTTTGATAAATTGTTTTGTCACATCATCAAATAACTACTTTCACTAAAAAAATATAGGCATTGAATTGGGTGTTGGCATTTATGGTGGAAATTCCTGAAGAAACTTCTATGGAATCAAATGCTGTTTTGATAATTCAAAGCATTTATGGTAGAAAAAATATATTATCATAAAATTTGTATTGACCAACCTAAAATGTTGCATGTAGAAGTGGCAATGGTACCGAACACCATTGTTTTCAAAACTGGACCGGACTGGATGGTCGGACCGGAAAAACCGAGAACCGGTCACCTGACCTGACTGGTTCCGTTTTCCTCCAAAACCGCTTTCCCCCCAARACCGTTGATTTTGGTCAGCAAACCGCTAAACCGTCCGGTTAACTGTTTGAACCGTTCGAACAATTTTGACCATTTTTCAAATTTTTAATTTTTTTCGTCAGAATGGGCCGACCGTTCGAGTTAAACGGTAATYGGAACCCTAACTGGTTCAGTCACCGGTTCGTTTTTAAAAACCATGCCGAACACAACCTAGATGAAACACTTGTTTTTKGTAATAAGCATTTTCTGAATTTTCTCTCCCTGCAAAGTTGACCTCCACTAGAGGAAATGAGCAATGTTCTGTAAACCGGACCAGACCGGCCAGTGAACTGTGACCCAGCCCCTGGCTGGTCCGGATATACCCCAAAACTGGTATTTAAAAAAACGGGAATAATCGGTCACCTGGCCGGTTCAACCGGCGAAACGTAAAACCGGTCCTGGCTTTGTATAACCGGCTGTTTTTTTTCATTTTCATATTTAGTACAAAAAGACAAAAAATGTTAAATTGGGCCAAACAGGACCTTAGGTCCAAATCCAATCAAATCCCAAATTCGAAAACCTCAAAACCATTGTTCAAAACGGCAAAACCTAACCTAATACCACCTGACCTGACCACCTCCAGCTCCACCGACGCCATTACCGTCGCCGCCAATAGGTTCTCTCTCTTCTTCTTCTTCCCGCGGTGGACTCTGTTCACCGCGCCCCTCTCCCTCCAACTCTGAGGGCCGGTTCCTCTCCTCCTCCTCCTCCTCCTCCACCTCCTCCACCACCACCTCTAACTCTTCTTCTTCTTCTTATTCCATTGATTTCTAAATTCCGAACCTGCAACGTTTCTTTTTCTTTGTTCATTACTGATTAGCTAGTTTACAGTTTAGTTACACTTAAATTTTAAAAATTTAATGCATATTTTTTTAATTATTGAACTTCATTATTTAATTACTCATGAAATTACAACTTGATTTTTGCTTCAGGTTTGGAATTTGATCATTCCTTCAGGCTTTCACTTTCCACCAAGTGGAGTCTCCAACTAGTTGTTCAGTCTTGCAGGTTAGCTTACCTAATTGTCTAAGCCCTTTCAAATAGCTGAAAATTGAAATTGAATTTAGAATTGTGATTTGTGATACTGATAATGCAATACTAAAATAGCTGAAAATTGAAATCAGTTTTACTTTATCATGTATGCATTATAATTTTTGAATTGAAGGTTTGAAGTGTTCTTGACTTATTTCTATTTTGGATCAATTTTCCTTCATATTCGGTAATTTTTTTTTGAAATTTTATTTATTATATATATATATTTATTACATCAGCACAGTTTGAACCCAGTCGGACCTATAACCCGTGAACCTCTGCCTTTGCCGGGTCAATGCCTGGTCCGGTTCTCTGAACATTGGAAATGAGGATTAATCAACCCTGAGGTATCAAGAAACTCCCCATTCTCTCTCCCTCCAAATATGGTCTTCATCTTCTCATCACACACTATAATCTTTTTGTTTTTATGATCCTGGAGTAAGAGTACATATAAGAGAAGGAGAGCAAATCAGTATGTAAATTCATCAAGGCAACTCGTAGTATACACGTTAAGTGCATGCAGAGAAGAAAAGCAAATGCTGTTAGAAAATCATCCAAAAAGCTAGTTCTGTGGCAATCTATGCCAGGAATTGTGAAAAGGATAATGCGGTGGTGCAGGTTTGGTGGCCTAACYAAGCAACTACGACAGCAGGTGATGACTTGGAATGAATTTGTTTGCCAGTGTGACAGCTGGAAAAAAATGTCAAAATCTGATCTAGGTTCTCCAATTGGTTCTCCTGGAAGTAATTCACCTGTGGTAGATGACTATGTGGGTAATAGTGGGAGTAGGTCATTAGCTTGTTAAGAGGGAGGGGAAGGAGGGAGGGAGGGGGACTTCAGAAACCACAGTGGCAATGCTCTCCTTTGTATTCAAATCTAACATAATACAGAAACATGGTTCATGCTATATAAATACTAGCTTGTTAATGTTGAAGCTGATGGGCATTTTGGGATATTGTCAGGTTAAGATAATTCCTAGACCATAGTTAGCTGGATGCTTGATTCTTTGCCATTTCATAGAAAGTCCAGATCTTTTGGTTCCTAGACCCTAGATTGGCTAACACTCTAGCAGATCCTTCAGCTAAGACAAAGAATTAAAAGGGCTTCTCTTTAATTTAAGGTAGGTAGAACAGATTATTTCAGTCTTACTTTAGCATTGTACTTTGCTTCTCTTGTAGCTGTTTTATCTTAGATGTGTCTATATTATTCATGGCCTTATTCTTTAATTAATAGTTTCCATTATCATTCTAAAAAATGAAACAGAAAAAGAAAAATATAATCTCCAACTTGAAGCTTCTTCCAAGGAATAGTTTCCCATACCTCTAGTCTTGCAATATATCTATAGGTGAATGATTTATCACCCTATCATTAAGCAAATGTTTCTGTTTATAGAATTAGACAAAGAAAAGCAATCAATTGTAGTCAAATGACTATTCAACATTGTAATGCACAAAAGTGTCTGATGGATGTGAGTTTAGCAAAAATGACACCCTAGCTCTTCTCCTCTACCAGCATAAAAGGTTCAATTAGAAATATAGAAGGCTTCCATATAAAAACAAATTCAAAAAGAAGACGAAATGTAGGATAATAAAGTTTATAAAGGTAATAATGTATCTTCTACAGGTAGAGATAACAAAATAAGATTTTTTTTTTCATTTTCTATATATATATATTTTGCATTTTCCTTTGTGGATTTTTTTTTTACAAAATTTCTGTGTTTTTCTCCATTTTTGCAAATTTTTGGATTTTCTGCACTTTCTACAATTTTTTGGATTTTCTTCAATTTCTGTAATTTTCTGGATTTCTGGATTTTCTACAATTTACTGGATTTTTTACATTTTCTGTATTTTCTGCAAAATTTTGCACTTTCTTCATTTTTGCAAAATTTCTGGGTGTTTTGTAATTTTCTGCAAAATTTCCGCATTTCTGAATTTTCTTTCTACAACTTTTATGTATTTTTTTGCATTTTCTGTAACTTTTCTTTATTTTTTCTGCAATTTTCTGTATTTTTGCAAAATCCCTGCATTTTGTTTTTGCAAATTTTCCGCATTTCTGAAAAATTATTGTTTTTTTTTT